TTTAATATTCTAAAGTACTTCGAAAATACCTGTTTGCAGTACCTACAGGCCACAAAAGTTATAGTAAATAATTTTAGGGATTGGGCTTATTTTTGCTCTTTTATTATCGTGGTTGCTATTTAAATTACAATTTGCTCAACAAAGTATAAACTACTGGAGACCCATGTTGTTTTATTATCCTTTAAAATAAATAAAAATATAAAGAATCCTAGAGCTTTTTTAGAATCTGTGAAATAGTACATTATCTAACAGGCGGAGAAAGCGCTTAATTAAAGCCGAGCTCAGTGTTCGCTGCCTAGGCCTTAGCCGAGGCTGCAGATCTGAGAAGCGGTTAATATCCTTTCTCCGCCGTGTTGTACTATTTTTTCAAACATTTAATAATTCTGTACATTGAAGTTATCAAGTTTGCGAGAGTTTGACGTTTGACATGTTATATTATGGGTACCTACCTACATGAATTTATTCTATAGTGACCTGTAAGTTTACATTTTCTTTGCTGATTACGCGATAGCTGGAACCACTCTTCCTATGTAATTTTAATGGATTTTCATTATTGTACGGCGGTGTATCTTAATTTGATTTTTGAACTGCGTACAAATAAAATACTTTCTGTATAGGATTATGAGTGATAATATGAAAATTTAAGTATATATGTGATTTGTCCCAATCCGTTTCCGTGACATTTCCATTCTCATAAGTAAAAATTAAAAAAAGAAAAAAAGTTGCTTTGATTACTCTCTGAAAAGCGCTCTCCCTTCAAATGAGAGTTTCGTTAAAATCGATTTAGCTGTTTTGGAGATTAGCCTGAAAACACAAACAATTTTATTTTATTTATATCTATAAATTGTTAATATTATACATTCCGTTTTTTATCTGTAGGTACCTGTTTTTGTAGGCTATTTTAATTTTTTACTTGTACCTGACACTTTTTACCGAACTGACGTTTTGTTATCAAGTTTTTAAATAAAATTAGATTAATTTAATTATTTTTTGTACTACCTTAATGAAAAACTTAATTTTCCACTCCCGAACGAGGAAGGAAAAAGCCTCTTTTCCTCCCCAAGAGGAAACAAAATTTCCTCCTTCTTTTTTTTAAACAATTTTACATTAGAAAGAGTTTTTGTAGGAAAAAGATTTACTCCGCGCTTGTCGAATCATTCTTTGAACAAACTATATTCATTTTCATATCGCCCTTTCAATTTTTAAGGAAGGAAATTAATTGCAACTATTCTTGCCCCTTCAGCAAGATCTTGCGGCAGGTCTTCTTCGTAAGAACTCATTTTCAAAACGTAGGAAGAATTTCAAATTTATGATAAACATTCTGACAGCTTATAACAACTGTTATGTATGTATTACCAAAAATACCATAGCAACAAAGCGTTGTCAACATAACAACATAACAACACGTCGGCAACGCAACACCTATAGGTGTATACTTAATATTTTGTCATTATTCTATAGCTTCATACCAGGTTAGTAAAAGGAATAGGAACGCTTAAAATGTCTTAAAGCCGTTAAAAGGTAATAAAAAAACTATATACATACCTCAGGAGAAAAATGCGTTTCCTCCCTTAAATATTTAATGCCCTTCGCTTCGCGTCGGGCATCAAACTATTCGCGGGATGAAAAGCACTATTTTCCTCCCATGGTATGTAAATAGCTATTGTTTAACCAGCAGCGTGTGAAAAAATGTATACAGGGAATAAATATATTAAATCAACGATCGTTGATTGATGAAATTTATTGAATGAATAACAATCCCAGTAATATTTGTATCATTAATTTGTTTATTAAAATAAAATTGTAGAAAAACTATTAATTTTAACTACAAAGTTTATCGAGATTAATTCCAGCACAATATTAAATAAATTTTCATTAGTAACTGTAGTTAAATAATGTTAAAATATTTTGTCATTTAATTAAATTTAAAGTTAATTTGTATAGTAAAGCTGTCATAAATCAAATTCTAAAATTAATTTAAAATTGAATGAGTTATTTAGTAAGGTTGTTTAACTAGATTAATATCTGAATGTGAAAATAAATTAATAATTTTATCTAATGTTAAAATAATATAAACACTAAAAAAACCAATTTTACAAATTTGTTTTATTATTGGGTACATTTTTGTAACAAGAAATTATTACCTATTTTGGGATAATTAAATAAGTTGGCGTTTAAAATGGTTTTTATAAACTATGTAATACTCAAATATTTTAAATAACAAGTGTTTAATTAAATGTTATTGTACTTATAAATTTTGTATGAAAAATGTTGCCATAATCCATAGCAATTAAATTCTTATTAATTTTTTAATATTTAAAAGCTAATAAAAATAATTTGAAGAACAATAATAAAATAAAACCCTACCATACTACTAGAGTACTCAAAATTTATGACGCTTTTAATTTTTTTTTAATTATTTATATATTTATTTAAAAAAACCTATTATGTAATATTCAAAATCTTCTTAAATTCTTATGTCTCCTCTTCTTTCTATAACTCCTTAGGGAGCAAACTTTGCTCAGCAAAGGTCACCTGTTAAGGTGTTTCTGGAGCTTAAGGCAAAACAGATGGTAGAATAGTCCTACTCATCGCCATTACTAAATCTTTTCATTTTTGTCTGTCGTTTGCTGTTTTTTGCTTCCAGACATCTTTAAAGGAGACATGTTTAAAAAAATATCTTTTAGACATCTTGAAGACAACTTTTCGTCATGACCAAAAGTCTACGTTTTAGGTGCTGTATGGAAAAGGAATAAATTATTAATTTAATCTTGGAGCTACATTGTTTTTAAATATTTTTAAATAACTGTACCTACATGTAATTTTGGAACTATATTTTATTTAATATAATACATTTTTAAATACTAAATAATTCCTGTTCAAATTTAGGTAAAGGGCATGTAAGAATCTGATCGAAATATTGTTTCTTCAATCTTTAATGTACTTATTTTAAGATAAATTATGTAATAAGTAAGATATCAAACGGATTTAGCTCAGTTTAAAAACAACAATATAACCATTCAAGGTCTTTTAAGACTTTAGGTGTGGTCAATACAGGTATTTACCAACAGTCGTTGTTTATGTTTGTTAAAATATTTAAATGGCAATCTAGAAATATGCACAAGTGAATTTTTAAATAAAAATTTGTTTTTTAAGCTACGGTTTATAATGTCAAATAAAGGACTATTATTTTTTATAAGCAATTATATCATAAATAAAGTTTTATTTTTCTTTCTATTCATTTAAAAATTACTTAACGTATTTCCCCAGTACAATTAAATTTAAAAAAAAATAAGAAATTTTATTTTAAACTAATTTGTAGACATAGGTGCATATACATATTTGACCTAATTTTGTTGTATTACAAAAATATTAAGTATTGTACGTATTTTCAGAAATCATTAAATTGAATAGCCCTTATAATTAAACTAAAAAATGTTTTAGATTTTTACCGTTGGATTGGATAGATAAAGTATAGTAATACACTCGAGATTTTGCGCATTATCTCTCGTATAATCATATACTATTATACAGGGTATTCCTTTTTTGCTGGGTCGTTACTAAATTTCTTATTTTCAAAAAAAAAAAATAATGTGCAAAAATAATCCTTGCAAAAATTACATATAATTTATATGCAAATATTTTTTATTTTAAAAATAATGCATTAAGCATTAAAATTTTTAAAAATCATATTTTTGTTTTGTTTAACTTATGTTTTTTGTTTTCATTTTGTTTTAATTCAAATTTAATTTAATTAATTTTTAACATGTGTTCATTATTTTTCGTTTTATTTCGATTTATTCAATTACTTTTTATTCTTAATTTAACTACAATTTGTTAAACTACCTTAAATTAAGAAAGTAGCAATACTTTAGTATTTACCATATACCGGTAAATACCGGGTAGTTATATGGTAAATACCAAATTGAATACATGAATGCACCCTGAATTTGCCTTGGGTATTTATGCAAATTTCAATATACCGGGACTTGCCCATCACTGGGTATTGCATTAAAAGTGTTTTATCCCATTTTGTGCGAGGGAATTCGTAACAATGATAAATAAGTCAATGGTGTAATATCAAATATAAAACAAAATTTTTGAAAGCTCCTCTTAGAGTTCAGAATTATAAAGAAAAGTTACCAAATTTACCATACCCCCCAGAGCCAGTTTTAACATGATGGGGAATTGGCTTAAGGCGTTTTTTGTGATAAATTTGATGCCTTGAAAACTCAAAAGCTGTCGAAATGGCACAATATAATATAATTTAATACTTATAACATCGCATTTTAAAACTCTGCCTGATGTAATAAAATAATTAGAATCTAATAAACTTTTCACATTAGAATCAGTGGATATATTGAATTATATAGGTAATAATAATAATAAATTGTGTTAAACATGTTTTTTATTTATTGTATGTTTATTACAATAAACGCATTTATTTAAAAAAAACTGTATTATGCGCTTTTTTCTGAATTATCCCTGACATTTATAATAGGTAATATAAATTATTTTAAAATTGTCATCTCCAAATTTGTCGCTTCAGAGACACTCTTGGTATGTCAACTTCTTTTTTAGTAGCCATGCATTATTCAAAATCGGGATTGTTTAATACGATACATCTCTTAAAAAAAGATTTTTTAATTGTATTTTTGACATTTGGGCCATTCCACGCGTAACGTATAGGACAGTTGCCGTGTTGTTAAACAGCTTTAGTTTAGAACTATTTATAAAAATTTGACATTGGTAATATAATAGAACAATATTATTTTGTAAATAAAAACACGGCAACTGTCCTATCCGTTAAGCGTGGAATGGCCCATTTGATTTTTTTAATTTACATACCTACCAGATTTACGTTATATTTTATTATTATAGATTATATAGATTATAGACAGTTCTTAAACATAAGTTAATAAAATTGTTTAGTGCGAAATGAAAATTGTTATTTTCATCATTTCGCGCTTTTATAGTTTTTTTTAAATAAAAACCATTTGTATTTATTACAATTTTTATTTGGCCACAATAATTATTTATTTATAAATTAACATCAGTATTTCAGTAAATTTTGAATTGCTTGCAGACAGCGCCATTTGTCAGGAAGATAAAATGGCTCAAAAACGTGGGGAAAAGGTGTGTCAAAACCCGTGACCCTGGCGATGGGGGCTTCTAGATGCAAAAAACACTCCTCCTGCAACAGACAGACAAATGATTGTGTTTCATAAAACTGAAGCTGAAGCCTTGCAGGAGACCTGTCACAGGTTAATAATAATAATTTTATGCAAGATGGGAATACGAAATTATGAATTTAAACAGCTAATAAACAGGAAAAAGGTTTTTTAATTAATTTTACTATATTATAATTTATAATGGAATGTATTATTATACATTATATAATACATATGTATGATATGCAATTAAGTACGGACTAAATAATCGTAATCAAAATACTTTCGGAATATAAAAAATCAACTTTTAATAATGGACCAGATTGCATTTGACTTTGTTTTAGGATTCTATTAGGCAGTGGCGGCTGGTGGTTTTGGGTATACCCATATCTCATTTATTAGATATTGGACCATACGCAAGCAGACTTTGAATTGAAGTTTGCGAAAAAAAGATAACTTTTTGCTAGGCCGTATCGGCCCGATGGCCCAATAAATATAATATAAATTTAATTGGTGCAATTTATTATTTACCATAGTTTATCAATAAATTTCAAATTTTATTTAAAAAATCCAAATCATACAGATTTGATATCATTTTAAATTTTTATTATTTCTTTGAAAAGAAATATTAAAAATTTAAAATGGTATAAAATCGGTATAATTGGAATTTTTTAAATAAAATTAGAAATAAACTATGGTAAATAATAAATAGCACCAATTAAATTTATATTATATTTATTGGGGGCGCCATGGGGCCGGTACGGCCGAGCAAAAAGTTATATTTTTTTCGCAAACTTCAATTTAAATTCTGCTTGCTCAGAACTTGTTTATTTAATGTCATTATAAAGTCATATAAATTTGGTGTGGGTCCCATTTCTAATAAATGAGATATCGGTATACCCAAAATCCACCAGCCGCCACTGCTATTATTTGTTTTTGATCAGTCCTACCCTCCGAATTTTGAAAATTTGTTTTTTTGACTTTACCTACACTGAGAGAAATGAATTTGTTAAATCAACAGTTTTATAAATGCTATGCCTTTTGATATTAAAACAATAAACATTTTGTTGACATAAATTTAAATTTTACTTTCGATTAATATTTTGAGAATGTCAAATTAAAAATGTGATTTTAATAGTCCATTTTATTTACATCAACACTAAACGTATATTAAATAAATATTGTTAAGAAATTTGATTAAATAATTTTTATATTAGTTAAATGGATATACACAAAACATATTCTGTCCTTCTCTTTCTCTATCTCTTCCACCACGCCATTGTTCGTTCTAGTGTCGTTTGGGTGCAATTTTAGAGTAAAAAAACTTGGTAAGTGTGATTTTTTTGATATATTTTTTTACATTACAGAATGCCTCTAATATGTTTAATTTTATTATTTTGTAATAATTGAAGACGAAGACGAAGTTTATAGTAATATTTTCACGCGAGTGCTTGTGACATGTTTATTACCTACCTACATGTAGGTACATGGTTCTTTTAACTCCAAGTTAACATTGTTTGTATTGAATGTGCAAAGACAGTTGAATTAACCATTTATTGGTTAATTTAGCCATTTTTTTCTAATAATAATTGTATGTCAAATAAATACACCAACATTTGGTAATCGGTTTGTATGGTATCCTTAGATACAGTGGCTGATTTACCGGGTAGGCAAGGTAAGCAGCTGCCTAGGGCGGCAGATTTCAGGGGCGGCGAATTTTTATAAATTACACAAGGTAAAAGGAAAGAGGTTTATTATTGGTGTTGTGTATATTCCACCAAATTCACCATCACAAATTTATAATGATCATTGTAACTTAATTGAATCTATCTTGGATCATTGGAAGGATGTCTTTTACCGTTTGTTGACTACAATTTGCTTAATGCAGAATGGGTAAATGAATATGGAGGAGTGAGAGTCACTGGTGGTGTAACTGAGTGTAGCATGTTGGTTTCTAACTCCTTTACTTATTGTAATTTGTACCAAATAAATTATATTCCAAACAGTAATAACAAAATATTAGATTTAGTTTTTAGTAATGCAGTTGATGCTACTGTAAGTGCGGCCCATGATATACTTCTGCCCATGGATTTATATCATCCACCAATCACTATAAATTATAGAATGGTTGAAGACATACATAAATATGCCGATTTTGGCTCCATCAACTACTGTCTATCTACTGTTATTTGGGATTTAGTCTTTAAATCTGACGATATTAACGACTCTATTCAATCATTCTATAATATACTGCAGGATTTGTTTGAAATGTATGTCCAAACTAAGAAGTATGGTAATAATAAATTCCCTAGGTGGTTTTCTCAAGAATTAAAATCTAAAATTGTTGAAAAAAAAGTTGCTCATAAAAATTTCAAACAAAGTCCAAGTGATCATAACTATCTATTATTTAGTAAGTTAAGAATTCCATAGATTTTGGCAAGTTGCAGTCAGACTTTTTAGATTTAACATAACTCCAAAAGTGTTTAGAGTCATTTTTAATATTAGCCTCAATAACTTGTATAGGTATAATCAGAATAACATTTTTTTGATAATCTAATCTCTAAACACTTTTGGAGTTATGTTAAATCTAAAAAGTCTGACTGCAACTTGCCAAAATCTATGGAACGCCGTTGTATTTTTTAATCAGGAATTTTTGTTGCAACTCCAACTTCTAGTCATATTTTTAATTGTATCGATTATTTTAAACAATATTTATAACTCAACTAACTATTTATAACTCAAAAATAATCTGGAATTAAAAATATCAAAGTGTCACTAAAATTAAAGTCAATTTTTAATTCAAAGTGATATTTTTAATTCACAGGAATTATCGATATCAAAGTGACCAGAAAATTCAAGTTAATTTTTAATTCAAACTGATATTCATAATTCGCATGAATAAATATCAACTTGAATTTTTAATTCAACTTATTTTCAACTAAAAAATGATTAAAATATTAAAGAAAAACTAAGAATTATTTGATATTTTTAAATGAAAGACATATTTTTAATTCCCACAGTTTGGACACCCCTGGTAATGTTGACGGTTCAATTTATCTACTACAGTAGGTATATTTGCTTTAATCTCAGTTAAATTATTTTGCGGCACTGTTTGTTTATATAATACCGTTTTTATTAATAATGGGCATAATAATTAATATTAATTAAATTACCTAATATTTTAAATATTTACACAGGTATTCTCATATATATATATGAGATATATCGTTAAGTAGGTCAACTGAGTCAGTTGAACTACTACAAATTTGACAATGCGAGAATTTCCCGCCGGGAAACCTAACCTTCTTTATCTCCCTAAATAAATCTATCTAGGTTTATATATATATATATATATATATATATATATATATATATATATATATATATATTAGGGTGATTCATTTCCGCAAAGTTTTTGTTTTTTTCGGTGCTCAAGCAAAATATTAATCTACCTATAGAAAAAAAAATGTTCACCAAGGTAGAGCTCTTAATATCAATTTTAAGTACTTGCAGTTTAAATTTAAAGTTTTCCCATTTAAAATGCATGTAAAAAAATGGTTTTTTTTTTCAAATTTCTAATGCTTACCCACCTTTGACAATATTGCAAATCGGTTTAATACATCTTATGGGGAAGTTCACGCTCTTTAAAATTGCTTTTGAGTTTTTTTTTGTAACTCGCATTGGTTCACCAGTAGGAGGCGTCAAAGGACAGTTTTTGAAAAAAATCGTTTTTTTTTTATTTTTTCGAGCAAATTGCCAAACGTAGTGAGAAAAAAGGGCTGATTCAAATAAAAAGTTATCCAACCAATATTTAATGAATTTACTGCCATTTTTATAACTGAAAACGTAAGAAATTGATAAATACCAACCCATAATGTTATTTAGATTGATTTTTTCTATTTATTATCATTATATTTCCCTACACTAAGAACTTTTTTAAAATAATTATGATTTCTCACTCATAATGAATATGAAAACAACACATAAATTCATAAAAAAAACAACAAAACTTTAATCGGAATATACAGAAGGTTATGTAACATATTTCAAATTTCGCTTCAAAAAATTAAATAATCTTCATTTATACTTTTTTGCTATTTTTTTATGAATTTATCTGTTGTTTTCGTATTCATTATAAGTGAGAAATTAATAATTTTAAAAAACTTCTTAGTGTAGGGAAATATAATGATAATAAATAGAAAAAATCAATCTATATAACATTATGAGTTGGTAATTATCAATTTCTTACGTTTTCAGTTATAAAAATGGCTGTAAATTCATTAAATATTGGTTGGATAACTTTTTTTATGATTCAGCCCTTTTTTCTCCCTACTTTTTGCGGTTTGTTAGAAAAAATTTAAGAAAAAACGATTTTTTTCAAAAACTGTCCTTTAACGACTCCTACTGGTGAACCAATGCGAGTTACAAAAAAAAAACTCAAAAGCAATTTTAAAGAGCGTAAAATTCCCCATAAGGTGTATTAAACCGATTTGCAATATTGTCAAAGGTGGGTAAGCATTAGAAATTTGAAAAAAAAAATATTTTTTACATGCATTTTAAACGGTAAAACTTTAAATCTAAATAGTAAGTAGGTACTTAAAATTGATATTAAGAGCTCAAACTTGTTGAGAATTTTTTTTTATATGCAGATTAATATTTTGCTTGAGCACCGAAGAAAACAAACCGATTTGCAATATTGTCAAAGGTGGGTAAGCATTAGAAATTTGAAAAAAAAAACATTTTTTTTACATGCATTTTAAATGGGAAAACTTTAAATTTAAACTGCAAGTACTTAAAATTGATATTAAGATCTCAAACTTGTTGAGAATTTTTTTTTCTATATGCAGATTAATATTTTGCTTGAGCACCGAAGAAAACAAAAACTTTTCTCCCTACTTTTTGCGGTTTGTTAGAAAAAATTAAAAAAAAAAACGATTTTTTTCAAAAACTGTCCTTTGACGACTCCTACTGGTGAACCAATGCGAGTTACAAAAAAAAACTCAAAAGCAATTTTAAAGAGCGT